CCCCGGCCGGGAGGCGGGTCCCGCCGCCCGGCTGTGCCCGCCCCGACAACGGCGGAGGGAACCCGGCAGCTCCCTGCGGCCCCGACGAGACCTCGGCAGCCCCTTGCGCGGGGTCCCCTCCCCGCGATGCGACCCTCCGCGCCCCCGCGCGTCCTTCTTGGCTGCGAGCGCGCTCTGAGCGTGCCGTGACAAGCCAGGCTCGCTCGCCACTTCCCTCCCTCGCAGGCGAGCCCGCCTCCCCCGGCTCGAGCGGCGCTGGGACCGACGGGCGCGGCCGGGAAGGACGCTCTCCGCCTCCTGGATGCAGAGTCGGCGAGGAAGCCGGCCGGTCCTCCCAGAACCGAGAGGGGCCCCGAGGGGGCAGCGGCTGCGGAGGCTTCGAGGAGACTCAGGCTGGCTTCTCTCCCTACTCCCCGGAGGGGGCAGGAAGCCTCAGGTACCTCGGCGGCCCCGGTCGGTGCATGCTTGTTCGAGCCAGACAGAGGCTGTGGCAGTGAGAGAAGAGAGGGAGAGGAGGAGGGAGGGAGAGAGAAGAGAAAGAAAACGCGAGAGAGTGAGAAGTAGAAGCGGAGGAGAGGTAGCAAGAGAAAAGGAGAGAGGGAGACAGAAAGAGTGCTAGAGAGATACAGAGACAGAGAGCAAGACAAGTAGAGAGTCAGAGAGAGAGAGAGAGAGAGAGAGAGAGAGGGAGAGAGAGAGAGGGAGAGAGAGAGAGAGTTGGTAGGTGGGAACTTGACTTTGATTTTTTTTCCAACGCTAGCAGAAGAGAGGAACGCAGCTCTCTGGCCAGCAAGCAGCCCCCAACCTGGATGGAGTGAAACATGCGGCCTGATGATATTAACCCGAGGACTGGGCTGGTAGTGGCCCTGGTCAGTGTCTTCCTGGTCTTTGGTTTCATGTTCACCGTCTCTGGGATGAAAGGGGAGACTCTGGGAAACATTCCCCTCCTGGCCATCGGGCCAGCCATCTGCCTACCAGGCATCGCGGCCATTGCCCTGGCCAGGAAAACCGAGGGCTGCACCAAGTGGCCCGAGAACGAGCTGCTATGGGTCCGCAAACTGCCCTGCTTCCGGAAACCCAAGGACAAGGAGGTGGTGGAACTGCTGAGGACCCCTTCAGACCTGGAGTCGGGCAAGGGGAGCTCAGACGAGCTGGCTAAGAAGGCGGGCCTCAGGGGGAAGCCTCCCGCACAGGGGCAGGGTGAGGTGCCTACGGCCAGCTCTGTCACCACCCCCACCCCCACGGAGGAAGGAGAATGCCAGAGCCTGGTCCAGAGCGGGCACCAGGAGGAGACGTCCAGGTGCCTGGACGGCTACTGTCCCTCGGCCAGTTCCCTCGCCTACAGTGCCTTGGACGTCAAGTGCTCAGCCTGGGACAGGTCCGAGTGCCCTGAGCCAGAGGACAGCATCTTCTTTGTGCCCCAGGACAGTATCATCGTCTGCTCCTACAAGCAGAACAGCCCCTATGACAGATACTGTTGTTACATCAATCAGATCCAAGGCAGGTGGGACCACGAGACAATAGTCTAGGCTCGGCATGCAAGGGTCGCTGTATTGATAGAAACGTGACTACACCCAGCTCCTGAAGGAAGGAAATTGCTCTGCTCCGACAGCCTTCACACTGTTATAAATTGACCTGGTATGTTATGGGTGTGCAAACCTCTGGTGCCTGAGAATCGTGTAAATAGGCATGTTGGGGACGCATTTTAGGAAAGGGTGATGAGGGTTAAGGACAGGGGAAGAAGCAGTGAGCAGGAAAGGAAGCTGTTCCAATTGCTGCTTAACAATTTAAACAATGTGGAATACTTTGTAAAATAACCCCCAAAAATGCTATCCAGCAACTACTGAAAGCAAGATAAATCTGGAGTGGGCTGCAGATGCGAGACCTCAGGCAATATGTGAGCTATCCAAAGGGAAACTCAGCTGCTTTATGTCTGAAGAAATTGAAAGAAAAAACTTAATATTCTGTTATATGAAATGATTTTTGTCTGGTGAAAAGCTTTTCACACTTGGTATTTGCTGAAAGAAAAAGAAAATCAAGATAGAATAGTTAAATCCTCCTTAGATGGTATGGTTTTTGGAGAAAGGGAAGTTAAAGACAGTTGAATTATGTAACTGAGTCTCGTGGCATTATTGTCTGACAAGAACATGGTTCCTGATAAAGTAAAGTAAAATAAGTGTGACCAGCTATGTAAAAAATTAACATTTTTTGAATGGCTATGTTATTTCTTAAACTCTTTATTTAAATTGATTTACTGTGTCTTTATCTGAACTGTTTCTTTTAACATTTACCACCAGTCATGTATAATTTCCTCACCAAGTGCAAAATTACTTAATGTAATATTTTCATCAATTAGAATTTGTTTTCATCAAGATCAAATGATTTTGACATATACATCCAAGTTTATTTAATGTGTTTATTTTAAATGTAAATGTTTATTTTACACATACCGGTAATTACTATTTCTATATCTCTTTTAAAACCTGAAAACTATAAAGTCCATACACTAGCCCTAAACATTGTGCAGAATCTGGTTAAACCTTTGGAAGGGTCATTATTTGTACATTTGTTCAACTCCCCCAGAGACTGTAAATGCCAGTGAAACAAGAGCTAAACTACCAGATTTAACTGCAGCCCACATTTTAAGTTTACCTGATCAGTGAACATTCCATGATACAAGTTTATTTCATAGATTTTTGCTGCTGAGGAAAAAAAAAATCATAATGGTATCCTAAGATGTATTTCATATTTCACTTGCTCAACTGCAATAGATAAGAGGACAATCAACTAGAATGCCATTTGATCCCTGCTGAAGAAAAATATTGAATTATGTATAGGAATGGTGATAGATTTCATTTTGAAGATGAGGATTATTTTGTATCCTTCCAAGAATGATGATTTTAAGGGATCAGATAGTTTTAGTGACTTTCTCCCAAAAGAGGAATGAGGACAAAAATTTCAGTGTGACTCTTTTGTGTATTTCAAGTTCAACTCTGTACATCTTTCTTTAAGTATGCGAATTGTTCTGTCTTAAGAAACATACTCTTAAAAATCGCAATTTTTAAGTCAAGTTCAAGATCAAAAGTATGTAAAATTTTTGTAGAGCTTAAAGGTCAGAAAATGAGATGTGTGATCCTCTCACACCAGAGATTTCTACTCTGTAAAGGTGTGGAGAACTGATTTATCCTGGATTATGTATATCACTCATTCTCAGTTTGAATATTCTATGATATTATGTCAAAGGCATTTTATATATGCCAGGAAATGAGTTACAGAAAAATGCATGTCAAAGTTATACAATTCATGATAAAAATGATCTGACGTGGGTTGAATTGCTACTATTCAAAAGAATTTTGTAGATGTATGAAAGCAGATGTGTTTTATTAACAAATATTATTTATTCAATACAATACATTCCTGAGAATAAGATGAAGATGTTAGTAAAATATTTTTTAGGGGAAATTTTTAAATGTTGGCATAACCCAAAGTAATCTAATACACAGCCTTGCACAAAATGTAATTGACTTCGAATTTGGGGGGAGAGAGAATTTTCTAAAATCACAGTAACTTTTAATAATTTTAATGCATTTTGAAAGCAGGAAATCATATTTTTATGAAGGAAAAAATTATTGGATACGCTCTTAGGAATAAAAACTTCCTTTAAGGTGTTTGCCACTGTGGACACCTTTAGAGGCGAGGATATAGTGAGTCAGAGATATTCACAGAGACTCATCAAATCTTACACAAAGCCTGAAAAAAGATATTGTGGTGTCAGGTATGGTTTGGGGTCTGGAAAAGTTACTTTCTGATTTCTTGGAACCAGCCCAAACTCTTTCATACCATTCATTCTCTCTCTGTTTCTCTTTTCTGTTTCTCTCTCTCCATTTCTCTCTTCTGTTTCTTTCTCTCTCTGTTTCTCTCTTCTGTTTCTTTCTCAGTTTCTCTCTCTCTCTCTCTCTCTCTCTCTCTCTCTCTCTCTCTCTCTATTTCTATCTTTCACACACCCATTCCAAATTGAAAGTCAACCACTGGCTTAGGATATTATGTATTTTATCACATTTTCAAGTTCAATTTCAGAAAAAACTTATTTCAGTTTTATTTTTCCATCTGCCTACTTCAGACACTTAAAGTGTTATCTAAATATGCATTTGAGGAAATATCTTACTATGCTAAAATAAAGGTCTGCAAATGTTGGAATAGGAGATTTAACTTTGACCAGAAAGAATAAATTTGTGATTGGGTATGAATTTTCCCTAAGCAATCCTCTCCTACATACAGCAAGGTGGCCTAGTGCCCCAAATCAGCATTTGTAAGTACTGTCAGAGTAAAACTGTCACTCTATTGAAAGGATGTAGAAGAAAAGGAGAAAAATGTGTCTCAGTCTTTTAGAGGAAAAGAAAGGAACTCATTCCAGTCAATAGCTTTAGCAGACTGTCAATATTAATATAATAGACATAAGGATTGTTTATGGTAAACTTTAAGAGCTTCTGAAATAGAAATTTAAGTAGGCATTAGTTTTCTTTATTTTGCTGTTAATCCAAATAGTCATTTCAACTTGAATTTTTTTTTTTTTTTTGACTCAGAGTTTCACTCTGTTGCCCAGGCTGGAGTGCAGTGGCACAATCATGGTTCACCGCACCCTCAACCTCCTGAGCCTCAGCCTCCCGAGTAGCTGGGACTATAGGCACATGCCACCACACTTGGCTTTTTTTTTTTTTTTTTTTAGAGACAAGGTCTCAATATACTGCCCAGGCTGGTCTCAAGCTCCTGGGCTCAAGCAGTTCTCCCACCTTGGCCTCCTAAAGTGCAGGGATTACAGATGTGATCCACCATGCCCAGTCTCAACTTGGTTTTGAGCAGACATTTTACTTTTGAAATTTCTATATTGAATTTCTCTGGCTCTACATCCCTGCTTATTATGCACGTGAGTTGTTTTTTCAAACTGTTTCTTGATTCCTAATTGTGAATTCAGCCAAGATACCCAAGCTGGAACATATTAAACAACTGTTTCAAGATTTATTTTCTATTGCAATGATCTTGGCAAACAAAATCCAGATACAATTAAGTTCAGGCTCTCTTCCAAACACTACTAACCAGCTCCTTTGAAAATGTTTTCAAAACTATGAGTCTTAATATCCACTGGGCTGGAAAATGTAGGAAAGGAAGATTCATTCTTTTACATTTTTTTCCCTTTGTAACATCCAATCTTTACTTATTTATTAACCTCTCCCCTCTGCACTCACAGCATCGATTATTTGGTGAATTTGCTATTATTATTACTACTGTTATTTTATCACTTAAAAGGAAATGTTTTTGAAAATCCACCACCTCACTATCCTAAAGAACTACTGTATTTCTATTTTGGCATACCATCTTCCAGTCCTCCTCCATATTCATATACAGCATACATCTTATACAAGTGTGTTCCTCTTTTCTCTTTTTATATCCTAAGCATGTTTCCATGTTTCTATACAGTATTCCTAATTATCAATGAACAATTGTGTGATATGCCATGTTAGTGATGTTCTGTAATTCATCATGCCATTCCTAATTGTTGACATGATATCAAGTTTTATGAATGGTTTTGAATGTCCTTTTTCTATTGTTGGTTACACTGCTATATTATTCGTTACATGCCAATAGAGAGAAAAATTTGAACAGCTGTCGTCTCATAGATGGGAGAAAGGGGAGAGAAATGTGTAAATGAATGAAACTCTCCATATTGTTCAGATGTTGTTACATGTGGATGTAAGACAGCGTGGGAGACAAAATCATGCTTCCTCAAAAAGGGTCTCACCTCAGGACCAGGACTAGTATTTTTAAGAGTAGTGTGACACATTACCCCAGCTAAGACACCACTAGTGTGTCTCTCACAGGATTACAGCAGTGGCAGTCTTCAAGAGCATAATGTTCAACAAACAAAATGATAAATAGACTTAAACAATAATTACTTTGTAATATGCCAAAAGCATTTTGTTAAAGTACCATACATTTTATAATATACTGTATTTCATACGTGTGTATATTGTCACCTATGAATGACTTACAAATGAACTGGAATTTCAGGACTTCAATAGACTCTGCCTATGCGTTTTCTGTGTTTTAGTTTCTTACTGAGAAAAACTAAACTGAGGATGGAAATGTAGACAAATGCTTGGTTCAACCAAATATCTCAATAAAGAACTGATTTCCATTCAGCCCCTTGTCCAGTTGACATAAAATTATATAAACACCACTGAGTCTGAGATCATGTCTTTGATTCCTTATAGCCTACTGCAGGGTCCTCACTCTCTGGGCACCCACTTGAAATTTATACATGATGCCGCCCAGATACTCACACCAAGAGGCAGACACTGATATCAGATATCCATAGTCTTTGTTCTGGTACTGACCCTTGTTAGGGATCCTTTCTTTATTTTTCCCTTTATTCCTCCTCCTGACCCCATATTGGAGTCTACAGACTCGATATCCTTGGTGACAGTGCGAGGCTCTGCATGCCTTATCTCTATAAAGTACAGAGTTACAGGATGAACCAGTTACAAAACAGAACATAAAGCTATTTTAAAAATCTCGTGTGGCTCTTTGACAAATCTATCCCTAGAAAGTTAAATATAAAAGATATTTTGCAATTAACCACTTCCTTAATTGTCATGGTAATGAACCACTGTATATAAGACAACTCTTCAAACTGAGGTGAGACCACTATTTTTTTAAATGCACGCTTTTGAAAATCATCTGTCTGTAATCCAACGTGAAAAGTCTGAACAATTACTTTCCATGTAAGTGATTAGACCATAAGATGAACTCGGAAGGGGCCTCTCTGCCCCAGGCTCTTCCAAACGACCTCCCGTTCTCTACAGCAGCCTCCTGGATATTCCTGATTGTGCCCTGCCGCTGACCACTCTGACCTTTGCTCCAACCATTTTCTCTGCCTCAAATGTGTACCCTGTCTTCATCCCTCTGCTGCTTGATGCCCTAACATCCTTCAAGGGGCAGCTACCACATTT